ACACACGTGAAGTAGTCGTCATTATTCTTAGTTTATCACTTCTAATTTAACTTCGCCCAGATGATATGACAGGTATCACGCTAGTTGCCACTTTCTTCTATAACTTTTTTGTTCTCGAATATTTTTCCTCCTCCTTCCGAAAATTCTAGTTTACGTTCGCAATTTTTTAATGAGGATAGTTTTAGGCAGACACATCACGTTCAAATTAAAGCTATAGCTAGAATTGATAATTATAGACAACGCCAATGTTGGTGCTCATACAGCTGCTGGTCCCGCTCTTAGCATCCGTTTCGGCTCAGTCACAAAACGCATCATTCTCAGGAGCACAGGGTATCATCTATTCACCTGGGTATCCTGATAACTATGCGAATCAACTCAATCAGTTCTATACGATCTCGGTAAGTTAATTGCTATATTGAGCTGTCAATCTAAAGTTAAGAAAGCAGAGACCTGAAATCTTATCGGGTAACTGTAATGAGTGCAGCTCGACCTAACCTGGTTGAATACAACCGGATTTCGTAGAGAACACATCGTAAATTCTGCAGGCACAACTGATAGAGCGATGAACATAAAACATTGTTTATTCGCAGAAGCAAACAAACTTATAGATTATCGGAGATTTTTAGAACCGTTTCCTTTGCAGGTTGATCCTGGTTACTATATTCATTTAACGCTGTATGATTTCGAAACTGAAGCATGTTGCGATAAACTCTACATCTGGAATGGTTATGATCTTCATCAGCCCACAATCGCAAAGTTTGTTTATTCTAACGAAAGTTTTCATTCGTTTAAAGTTAATTAAGCTAGTTTCGCATTATTGTTCCTTTATAAAATTTTGTATAAAATTATGCAAAGAATGCTCTCCCTCATGTACTAACATATCAGATTCGAAATGATGCAGTACTAAAGATTTAACATAATTTCTTGTGGCTGTGCGGGTTGAAAAATTCTTTCAAATAGTTTGAAACTAAGCATCGAGTTTGTTGCGTTGACAAACCGTTTCATAATTTGATCGTTTTAATATTCAACAGCACCATATGCGATGTAGGTAGGGCGCAATAC